CACACACACACACACACACAGTCTCTGCTTTAAGCACAATGAGCCATGGCAATATACAAACCAACCTTAGGGGGCAGGCAATAGGCTGAACCAGATCAGAGATCTTCAAAGTAATCACCAGGCATCCCCAGGGAACCCCACTGCTTCCTGAGCTCTGTATGGATATAGAAGAGTTCTAAAAAAAACAATTTCCAGATCCTCTATTTCCATAGGAACCCTTTTTCACAAGTGATATGCTTGAAATGTGCCAACAGTGAGCATTTTCTGGCAAGTTCTCCTTTCCCACTTCCCCTTTTATAATTACCCTTCACCCATTTTACCAAAGAAAGGCACATCTCTCTCCCATTCACAATCTTACTATATGCCTTGCCTCCCCAAGGTGCCTAATAAAGGAGCAATTTGAAAAACTGATATTAGAGAAACGTTCTTTCAGGAAAGCACTGATATCCACATTACCCATACCTACATTTAGGATACAAATTTCCACTATAGTTTACTTCTATGCCTCATAATTACTTACCAAAAGTTAATGAATTACTTTTGTTACCTGTATACTAATATTTAAAATAGCATAAGGAATAATTTTTAACAAAACTATTTTAAAAATTAAATTTAAATGTATATACTTTTTGTTGCTGAGGAGTAAGAGGAGCACAGAAGTTGGAAAAATATATTGTAAAATTTCGAACTATAAATTGTTCAATTGAAAAATAATTGAAAATTTTAGAGGTCAGAGCTAAGAGTGCACAAGGGGTATTCCATTTCTCAAATTTCTATTAGAAGGCATACGAGCAAAATGCCCAGTGAGAATGAAATGATACAAGGGATTATTGAATGTGTCACAGGGCTTCTTCCCTGTGTCATTGTGATAAGTAGAACTCCCCCCACAACAACCAACCTTACAACCATTATATTTTCTTCTTGTAGGATAATTTTCAGTTTCAATTCCTTTATTTAACAAAATATTTTGTCACTCTCCGGATCCCTTCTGCAGTCTGTTAGCACTTGGAAAAACCTTAGCATCAGGAGAAGAAGCAACTATGCATTATTAGAACATGATGAGCGAATAGGCATTCAGACTTTTTTTTAATCCATTTTTATATAGTCTATATAAAAATACCTCTTTTGTATACACATACACACACATGTGTATGCATATGCACATACATATACATATATATGTATATGTAAGTCCTTCCAAAAATGACCCAAGACACTACTAGAGTCGCAGTGGGATAAAACACTGAAAAATATATGTATACATATACCCTGCCTCCAGATATAAAATGAGCACGAATAACACTGCTGAACTGAAATGAGACCAAAAGCTTCTTATTTCCTACATCTGATTGCAGTACTGAGGAACTTGGGGGAAAAAAAAAAGATAAAGCAAAATAATAAATATATAATTAATAATAATTAGTCAAATTCACCACTATATAGTTGGTAGTGAGGATCTGCAGTACTAGCTAAAACCACAGAGGTTCTTTCAACTCCCCTATGGCATTTTTCCATTCAGTCCATTCCAATGGGATAGCAGCAAGCACTTAAGCATTGTTCAATCTCAACAGCCTGATGTAGCAATCTACAACCACTGTGGAAGTAAACCAAAGAGCTAATATTGAACTAAGGAAAGCAGGTGGCTTCTTGCCAATCCTCATACCATAAAGCCTCTGAAAAAGCTTCTCAAATACTTGACAACACCACCTCTGTTGTGATATAATGGGAAAGGCTTCTGTTCTGATCTCTCCAGGAACCCCAGCTTTCGACTTGGATGGATGAATGGATAGATGGATAAATTCAGCACCCAGATCAATCCCCATGTACTTACGTCAGGTTCTATCAGCAAAAGCTGATGCAAATTAATGTTCTCATTCAGGAACCATGACAGAAACCTCTCCAAGGAACCAAATACATATAGACACTCGCATGAATATCAGTTGATCATAAATATATATAAATATATTTAAGTAAAAACATATATATAAATATATAATTAATGATTGATGTCAATCATGCAAGTACCATATAAGCAGTATTACTTGAAAACCAACATTCTATCTGTATAACATGGCGTCAAAATGAAGTCGTGGTTAGTTGTCACTGCCAAATTGTGGGAAATACTTATATGGAAATATCATTCTTCATAAATACCTGTGATCTTAAATCTGTGTGGGTTAAATCCTCAGTTCCACCACTTAACTAGCTCTGTAACTTTGGGAATGTTACTCAGTTACCCTGTGCTCCAGTTTTCTCAGCACTATAATATAGTTCCTACCACCACATAACTTTATTATGATGATTTTTAAAAATACATACTTGGAACAATGCCCAGTACATAATAAGACCTCAACAAGTATTAGCTATAATTAATATGAATTATATTTCCCATATGGGAAATAATATATTTCCCATAATTCAAGTTGCTGGCAGAAACACGGAACTCTCCGTATTATCATTAACTAACCTTCAAAAGAATAGCTACCTGGGGCACCTGGGTGGCTCAGTGGGTTAAGCCTCTGCCTTCGGCTCAGGTTATGATCTCAGGGTCCTAGGATCAAGCCCTGCATCGGGCTCTCCGCTCAGCGAGGAGCCTGCTTCCCCCTCTCTCTCTGCCTGCCTCTCTGCCTACTTGTGATCTTTCTCTCTCTGTCAAATAAATAAAACAGATAAATAAAAATTAAAAAAAAAAAGAATAGCTACCTAATGAACAAACTTAACAGGAAGCTCTAAGAGACAAATGAAGAAAAGGACAGTTTTCTAAGTTTTAAAATGTTTTTAAAACTACCTGGGGTTCAAGGCCCACTTAAAAACCTAATTAGAGTTGTAGATATTTTCCTAAGAAAAATCCACTTACACTAACATTCAGGGCTTCAATCATAGCCTTCCTGAAATCTACCCAGAGCCAGCAAACCTGAGATGGAGAACCTCCTGGGGTTTAAAATCCTTTAATTATCAAACTCTATTTCAATAAACTTTAAATCACTGATTTTCTCTCTCCTTCAAAGATGTTGATAAATATGTATTTCATTAACAACAAATATGTCTTGCAAGAGAGCTGCTGACATTTATATATGAATCTCACCGGTGAAAATAGAAAGCATCAAATCATTTCCCTTAAGTCCACCAAAATCTGCAGTAAAATTCCAAATTTCAGGACTACAACTCCAAAACAGGTTCTGGAGCTCCCATGCCAAACTGTCAGAGAATAGTGAATCCAAAGTATGGAAAGGGACGTCTGGCTGTTTCAGTCAGCAGAGCATGTGACTCTTGATCTTGGGGAAGTGACTTTGAGCCCCACATGGTGTAGAGCTTACTTAATAAAAATAAATAAATAGATTAATAATAAATTAAAAAGCAAAGTATTGGAACACTGCCTACTGAGCTTCAGGACCAGTGACCAACTTAACTCCTCCGTGTCACTCTGTCACAGAGCCAATGACCCTGCAGGAAAGGCCATTCTGAGTATGACTAAAACTCTGAGGAGAAAACTCATTGAGAAATGAATGTGACCTTAAAACACAATCGTAACAAACCTTTAGAACTTTCTGAGACTTAACTTGATTCCATAAAATTTTAAATTCTTTGTCACTTTTTAAAGCTAAGAAGGCTCTTACTTTTTCTCTTTAGTCCCTTCCTTTACATATCTTTATGTTCTTTTTGTACCTCCTTCCTCCACCACACCGCTTTTCAACAAAACAACAGGAGTTGTTAAATTGAATCAATCATTGCACCTTGATGCTTTCAGTAGAACAGCCCACCTCACAGCCATCCCCCCTGGGACACCGCAACCATCCAGAGCTAATCTGTTCTTTCAGTCAAGTCAGCAAAACCTCCTTAGGCACAATGACAAGATAAGGATGCCTATCAGTTACAAATAGATGTCATCACCCCTGTTAATAACTTTAGAAAGTAGCTTTAAAAAACACAATGGAAAAATAGCTAGCGACAACAACTTTGCTTCCAGTTTTGAAACTTCTAACATCCTGTTTAAGAATCTGTTGGTACACACCGTTTAGGAATAATCTTGCATTACGGCTAAGTTGAAGCTCTCAAAATCTTAAACGCACAGCATTACATAAATTAAAATGAATTGTATATGTCCGCAAAATGCAATCTCAGTAACACTGGGAAAAAATTAACTGGATTTTCATTTAAATCCACCTTGGATAAGGATTTTACTGCAACTAAGTTCTCCTACATCTCTTCCAAGTTTCTAATACTGCTTTTCTAAGAGATGAGTGGCTTGTACAGGGTTGGAACTAAGAATCCAAACCCAGGCCTGACTGCCCAGCAATAACCATTTCTGCAAGTTCCTTTCCCTAGGAGGACAAGGGTTCTCATCCAAAAAGGGAAGGGTAACTCGATTTTGCAAACAAAGGTAGCGACAGACGTGCAGAGTCCTACACACCTTTGCTCCGACCGAGAGGGAGTTTGGGAGGGCACAGGGAAGAAGCGAGGAGCTGCAGTACCTTCTTGAACTCTCTGAGCTCGGTTAGGTGCAGAACTCAGCGCTCGGTGCTGCCAGACCGCGTCTTCTCCGCGGGGGCAGCCAGACGCACGTCCCTCGCTCTCCGCCCGTCAGCTGGCAAAGTCCAGCGCAGGGGAGAGCCCAGGCAGGGGAGAGCCCGGCGCCGGACGCTGCCTCCCGCGCCTCGGCTGCCTGCAACACCGAAAGACGGGAGCGCACGCAAGAGCCGCGCGGGACCCGCCAGCGGACGAGCAAGCTGCGCACCTCTGGAAGCGGAGGATGGCGAGCACGGGGGGAATAAAGGGTCAGAAGGGGGAAAACCGCTCTGCGCAGTGCAGCCAAAAACCCGAAGTCGCGGTCAAGTGTTCCGCGCGAGAGGGCGGGGCGGCGCAACCCGCAGCTGGTGGCGGGAAACGGGTGGGTCGGCCCGGAGCTGGGAGAGGCCCGAGGCGTAGGCTTTCGGGGAAAATTCCATCGCCTTTTCAACCACCACCACCTCCCCTCCCAGAGCCGAGAAGCAGAACTCTACCTCCATCGAGTCCGGGCTGCAGGGCTGGGGGCGGCAAGCGGCGCGGCGGGCGGGCGCTGCCACCAGGCCCTCTCAGCCGGGCGACGGGCTTCGACTGCGAGTCAGCGGGGGTTCCCCCTGGGCTCCCTGAACCCAGGGAGTCCCAACCCTCAGCGAAAAGAAAAGTGAAAGAGAGAAGAGCGAGGAGCAGAGGGCAAGACAAACTTCCCCAGCGGCGGCTGGGGGAGGGAGATGTGGCAGGAGACCCTGAAAGATTGCCCCAGGTGTCCAGTTCCCCGCCCTCTTGGCTGGGACGCTCCGCAGGTTTCCGCCACTGCCAAATCCGGGGCGCAGAACTTGGAGGGAGGAGGAGGTCAGGGAGCGCCGGCCCCGCCTCGCAGAAACGCCCAGACCGCGGCTTCGGCCTGTGCCTTTATCTTTCCTGGCACCTCCAGGGAAAGCGCGAGAAGTCTCGGAGACCACCCCCGGCCCCCGCCCCTACCCAGCCTGGCTTAGGGCGGGAGGCTTCCCGGGAGAAGCCTGGAGACCTGGGCGCGTGGTTGAGCACCCAGCTGGCCCAGAGGCAAGGGAAAAATGTGTAGTAGGATCGAGCTGGGCTGGGCGGCTACTCCAGACCAGCCTCTCACCCCGCAGCGCAGGCTGGAAGAAGGCAGGCTTAGGTGAAGTCTGGCGGGAGAGGACGGAATAAGACAGGTGGATGACTACTTTGTCCAAGGCAGTTGTGAGCACGGAGGTGAACTGGCAGACATGAGCCCGCCTGTGGATCACTTTTCCACTGTAGGGCACACTGGACTGTAAACACGGTGCCTGACCCCATTAAATGGGACGCTGTGAAAATGTTATTAGGGTATTTCACAATTCAAAGAAGGGACTAAGTTCTTTAAAGCTCAGTGATCCTCATGCCACACACAGTCAGCAGAAAAGTCCTCATGCCCAGTTTTGGAAACACTCTGAAGAACCTTGAACACGTGTGAATCAGCGAAAATCCCTAATGGAAGGTCGTCCCCAAATTTTCCAGTTATGTCACAGAAAAACTGATACGGTTCCTTGGAGTTTAGTAAACATTTAAGTACCTTTTCTTTACAATTACCTATTTTTAAAAAATAAAAATATTAGAAGTCATTTAAGTATCAATTATGCATAAAATTCCACGTAAAATAATTTCATATTTTTATGAAAAAGTTGATCTCTAGATAGTCACATCAACAAAAAAGGTGATATATAAAAATCTAAAAACCATTTTTTACAACAATTCAAAAATTTACCATAGTTGGAAATTATATTTAAAGAAATTAAAGTCCTTTTCTGTCCAAGACAATGTTATGTTGAATTTTCTTGTAATAATGCCAATGATCTCAAATCTAATCTGACTTTTTCACAGTGATATGCTGAAGCTCTGATTTGCAGAATGGGCATTCATTGTGAGAGCAGGCGTGCAGCCATATTGGATTCTGTTGCAAAGATAGTAGCCACAGGAGGAGGACAGTATGCGTACAGGTGAATTTACAGATTAGGGATGGAGAAGGGAATTTATTCCTATCAACCTGAACTGTGGAAGAGCATCTTGGACTCCTGCAAAGTGAATTCCTCCCATACCTCCTTCAGTATCCTTATGGATGCTGTGTGCTGTGAAGCTGGTAGCCGAGATAGATGTCCAGACAGTAAGACACCTTATTGGCTACACCTAGCCTCAACCAGCAGAGCCTGATATCATTGTTGCCAGAGGATGCATCATCACCTCTCAGACCCTGTTGTGCTTGGACTGCCCAAGAGCACTAGAGAAAGCTGCTCTCTGCTCTTAGCCCAGGGGCTCCAGCTGCCCATGGAGCTGAATAGCATCAGTATCTGACATGGCGCTTTGAACATTTGATCACCATGAGCTACTGGAGAGGTCCTCACAACACTCTGGGAAACCGATGGGAATTTTCTTCATAAACCTGAGTTTTAAAGTATAATCTGAACACATAAGAATAATAAAATTGGTCTATAAATATTGATCCAGCTTCTAATATATGTGAGTTCTGCAACAAGATGGGCTGAATGGGATATAAGGCATTTGGTTAAGTTGGGGAGATTTTTAAAAAATTAACAATACAGTGAAAATGAAAATTATTCTAGCCATAAGATATGCTTTGCCCTATTTGCATCCCCAAGATGTAGGTCAAATTTGTTTTCTTAATTACAGAAAATAAAGTATTTTTGAATTAGTTATACAAGTGCCTACAATTCAATGATGCTGGATTTCTGCATAATTTGTTTTTGTTGCACTGCTCTCAAACAGAGAAGTCTCATATAAACAACTTGTATTTTCAGTTGCCACAAGGTGTTTGGCAAGATATTGAAAATTACTCACACCAATGAACAAGTAAATTCCACTGTATAAATTAAAAACAAAGATGAAGATTGATGAAATAGTTTGAAACCACTGTAAGATAACTCATAAAATTATAATGTAGAAAGATGTAAAAATTAACCAAACCTCACAGAAGGAACTATAATAACCACTCTTTGAATCTGCAGAATTAATAATAAAATCATAGTTCAATAAATTTTTAATATCTGATTTTTTATTCCAAAGATAATGGTTGCCAATTGGGCAGTTGTCTTTTAAAGAAATTACTAATAAATGTTTCCTAATAGCTTTTGAGACAACAGGGAAGAAGTTAAAAGTTGGCTCGTCTGATTTAATGTTCAAAGTCCATGACTGTGACCTTATATATGATCCTAAGAACAAACCACAGGCCAAGAACTAAGTTGACTTTCTGCTCTTTAAAAAACTTGGCCCAAGACCCCTCGAGTTTCCGTTTTGATTAAAACACGCCTGAAATACAGCTTTAGCTCAAGGAATTATAAACAGTTAAATCATAACATACTGAATTCTTAACGTATTTAAGGGTATATAGAATCTTTAATGTTTACGTAGTTAGCAATTGCGGGGAGGGGTGGTTACGTAGAAACGGATCATTTCATGTGCTGACAATACTGTACTGAGTGAAATTTGAAGGATGAACTAACTAATCAACATCTACTGCAAAGAACTTTACTTACTTAGATTTATAGTGAAAATGTATCATAAATGTACACAATATGACTTGTGATGGCATTTATTTCAATGAGTAACTGTAAGAAAGGGATTTTACTTTTCATCATGGATAGGTGGAAAATTCATATGGAAAATACACATTTTCTTGAATTAGCTCTATAACTTAAATTTATGCATTTTCTACAACATGTAACTACCTTAACAAAAAGATGTGAACCAAAGCCCATAGCAATGATAGGTGCATGTTAACATATCTGACCAAAAAATTAATTAATTAATTAATTAATTAAACTGACATCACTTTTGATTTTGATTCTGTGGCTGGCAAATAGACCCTGAATAAAAGTTTGTTGAATCTATTTTGGTAAGAAATAATTTCACTCTTTTCACAGTTTTAGATTCTTGCTAGAATCAAAATTTGAGAATTCATAGAGCTACATGTAGATATGTGGGTATGTATACATATATAAACACATATATACAAATGCATATATACATTCATAATATATACGTATATATATTATGTGTATAAATGTACATAATAGTTCTTTGCAAGTATCATGAAATAATTCGATAATTTACCTAACTTAATTCTGTGGTCACTTTTTATTGCATTTTAAACTAATCTGCCTTCAAAACATCCATCAAAATCAATTTTCAGAAACACTCTGACAAATATCAGCTATGCCAATAGAAGGCTCATAATCATCTGTTAAAATACCATTAGTTTTGTTATTATAGGTATTGTTGTATGAGAAATGACCGTGATGAAATGCTGGCCTCTAGTTAGCATCTTGGAAGAATCAAAGTGAAAACACTTACAGACCAAATTAAGATAAACAACATGATTTATTAAATAAATCTAAACCTCACAATGAGAAGCAAAAGAAAAGAGACCAGACACCAGATTAAACACACTTAGGGAAGAGTGCATGGGCAGAAGACCCCACACCCGAAATCCTGGATTACACAATGTTCATATAACCTCTCTCTGTGTCTCTCTTTCTCTCTCTGCCATATCATCCCTCTCTGATGATGGTGTAGTGATGAAGACCAAAGCTGAGGTGTGAATAAAGAGGGGATACAAAGATGAAATTTACCTAGGGCCAAAACACATGTTTGCTCTATTAGGCATAGAAGTCAACCTGTGTATTTCTAATTAGCCTCCTACACTTTTTTGGACACAGAACATGTGAGGCTGGAATCGGACTATACTGGATATCACCAGTGAATGGCCAATTTAAAGGTGATGTATAAAAAAGTCTGCTGAGAAAGTCACCATCATATATACGACTTTCTATCCTTTCTATCTCTAAGTAGTATCCTTGTTTGTCCTTGCATGTATTTCATTATAGTATACATTAAAAAAAAAAAAGATTTTATTTGGGGTACCCAGGTGGCTCAGTGGGTTAAGCTTCTGCCTTCAGCTCAGGTCATGATCTCAGAGCCCTGGGATCGAGCCCCACATCGGGTTCTCTGCTCAGCAGGGAACCTGCTTCCCCCCACCCATTCTCTGCCTGCCCTTCTGCCTACTTGTGATCTCTGTCTGTCAAATAAATAAATAAAATCTTTAAAAATATATTTTATTTCTTTTTTATTTGAGAGAGAAGAGAGAGCATGAGCAGTGGGAAGGGCAGAGGGAGAAGAGGTTGGAGAAGCAGGCTCCCCAATGAGCAGGGAACCCGAGTCAGAACTCCATTCCAAGACCCTGGGATCATGACCTAAATTGAAGGCAGATGCTCAACTGAGCCACCCAGGTGTCCCTGTGCCATCCATTTTTAACATGTCTTTCAGGTTACTAATTTACAATTTATATTTAACACATCTTACAAATTTGCCTATGCCTCACAAGCTACTTATGTATTATCTATATTTAACACACATACTATGATTTTCACCCATTTCTCAAAAGTGCTAGCCTACTTACTATCTATGATTAACACTTCTTAGGAGCTTTATCCATCTCATTGTTCTCTTGTA